TTTGCGTTACTTTAACGCTTTTTTGCGTTACTTTTCTAGTAATGCAATAACGCTTTCGTTATACGTTACCAGTAACGCATAATATAGTAACGCTTTAGTCGCATTTTGTCCGGAAGGTGATAAAACAATACATTTTCGGTTGTTCGTCACTCATACGGTGATATTTGAAAACGTTGCTTTACTCAGTAAAGTAACGCATCAGTAAAGAAAATGTGCCACCCCTAGACCGCATACGTCAAGATTCTCTCCAAAATTACTTTTCCCAATTGTCAGATTCGACAATGTTTTAGTTGTACGTATGTGAGAGAACAAAACCCGACTTCCTTAGAGAATGTGTGCGTGTACAATACCGTTGTTGCCGCTATAGTGCTAGACGATATTGTGGTTGATTGGGATGTGTCGGCAGTGGTGGACAGCTGAAATGAAAGCGGAAAACATGTCACACGGTGGTTGACCGACCGTCAGCACGGAAAGAAATGAGCTCTCGTTGACAGAATGTGCGAACACTGATGATTTAATGTTCGATGCCATCGTTAAAGATTTTCGAGAATTTTCTGGCCAGAAGAACGAAAATATTGATGACTGGTTAAGACTGTTACATGTAAAGTTTTTTGCATGAAATTTCGATGAATCACAACAACTTAAATGGTCAGTACAATTTCTAACTGGTGAAGCTTTAAAATGGTATCTGACACAAGTAGAGCACATAACCACATGGGCTGCTTTTAAAGCAGCAGTGCGTGCCAGTTATCCACCACCACCAGAACCTACTCGTACCGGCATTTTTCAACAATTATTAACCCGAAAACAACATCATGATGAGAAATTTATTCAGTATTATAGTGATGTTAGAAAATTATGTCATAAAGGCGATCCGAAATTATCATCTGAACAACAATTAGATCTACTTCAAAATGGTATGAAAATCTGTTTATTAGACAAAATTAGTGGTCTAGGTGTAGTTACACCTGAAAAATTATTGGAAATAGTACAGCTGTACGAAGCTGAACAGCAATTAATTGATTCTCGTACATTGCAAGCAACGTCAGATTCTACTACTCTTGCCTTACAATCATCCAGTATCTATCCTGTCTCTTCTATTTAACATCCGTGATTTACCTCATTATCGCCGTCCTTTCCTTTTTCATCGTCACAATATTATTCACATTCTCGTTATCCACCATCCAATTATTCGTCGGCCTCGCCAGTTCGTAAACCATACGCACCAGACACAAGAAATCGTTCGAACCTTTGCTATCGATGTGGTCAACCGGGACATTATGCTCCCGGCTGTTTAAACAAATAACGGGGTTTCCATATGGTGGTGCCCCTGATTTAGAACAAAACCCATCTTTAATATTTACTCGCGTACTTGTAAATAACCGTTTCGTTCACGCTCTAGTCGATACTGGTGCCACCACTTCTCTTATTCAAAAATCATTATTATCTAAGCTTTATCGTTCTCCACCTATTCAACCAACATCAATATCTGCAAAAGTAGGCGATGGCACCACCTCGTTGAAGACTTAGGGCTACGTGAACCTTCCAGTTACAATTAATAACATTAAGACTTTTGTTAAAGCTTTAGTCGTTGATTCATTAACGTCGGAATTTATCTTAGGCAATGACTGGCGACAGACACATACAGTACATATTTTAGATGATCGCTTAACCCTTCGTCATCATGGCTTGCAAACGTTCGTTCAATTTGAACCTAACGTGTCGGTACCCGTTCGTCTTACATCTACGACTCAACTACTTCCACGTGAAGAAAATCTAGTAGCCGTTACGTTGCCGACCTCCAGTGCCGCCACGGTTTATTTTAAATCTAATTCTCAGCTGCAATTCAATAAAAACGTTATGCTATCGGATGGTTTATTGAATGTTAAGAATTATAAAAGTGCTTTAACAGTATACAATCCGTCTTCGTTTCCTCGCACATTACCAACTAACACAGTACTAGGTAATGCCACGTTTCCCGACACAAGACAATCTCGATTTCACCCTGTTACCGAAGTTTCATCATTCTTAAGTGCTATTAATACGCCTGTCGTGCTTTCGCAAATTTCTACTGAACCTTCCGTGCTATCGCCAACACGTCACATACGGTCACAACATAATGCGCTTCTCGATAAGGTATCTCGTCTCACCGACCACCTTCATGCCAAGACTGATGCCACGAACGTCCAACAGATCTTGTATATGCATTTACAACTATTCGACACTAACGCATCAACCCAGGCTACTATAAAAACTTTTCATACTAAAAGTACGGACCATCAACGACCAAGGAACTCATTTCGCAAATGACCTCATCATTGCTCTAACCCAAACACTTGGAACCAAGCATATCCTCTCCACTGCATCCCATCAACAAACAAACGGACAAGTAGAAAGACTAAACACTAGATTTTGTCTATACCTATCAAAATCCTCTTCAACAAATCACGGAAACTGGGACCACTATTTGAAATACAAAATTTACGAGTACAATAATATCTAACATCCCACAACCAACTATACACCTTACCACATTCCGTCCATTCGTCGTCCTCCGCCTCTCGATCAACGGCAACATGACACACGGTGGCAGAAATGAGCTCTCGTTGAGAGAATGCGCAGCATACGTCAAGATTCTCTCGAAAATTACTTTTGCCAATCTATGGTCTAACACACGCAAAGAAGAAGTGGACAACTACTGCAAATTGGTGTGACGCT